CGCGGGAACGTGCAATAAACGATGAACTATACTCATGTGAAGAAGTCGTTCGCTTTCACGTTACAAGGAATCAAATAACAAAAAGATCAACACTGTGTTTTCCTGTCTAATTTGTTTACGTTGGACCAAGTTCGTGCAGCTGAGAAATTGTGTGTTGTCTAAAAACCGCAAAATTACGCAAATGATCACAAACAAGTCAATATATTCTCAGTGATTCAATCTACCTTCGGTATTTCGAAGCACCGTACAGTATCTCGTAACAACGGCAGATCTGCTGAAGTTCGGGCCGCTAAATTCACTAACTGCTTATAATGAACTGACGTGACTGCTTTATCACTGATCGTGCAATCCGCATCGTTCGTATATTCTCTATTGTATTGTCATTACGTAATTGTTGCAAATTTTTCCATATATACCAGATCCACTAAAAGCATGCCTTTCCTCCTGAGGGCACATGTTAACCAGGGAATGTTATCGGACGAAAACCTATTGTTTTTTTTATTTTAGCTAGTGCTGGCGCACTACATACCAATAATTCATGTCCGCTCATGTATTAAATTTGTCAGCTTGCTAGGTTGGCTAAATTAGGTTGTGCGTCTAGCACCACCTTCAGGCGACGGGTCTTCTTGGCTGCACAATATGTATATATTTGCATGATATGCGGTGGGCCAAAGATGGATGACTTTTGTGAAAGCACGGCTACATTAGGGTAGCTTCATTCATTGTCGTTTCATGCCACCTAAATTATTTTCAATTTATAGATAAAGGATATGGAAAAAGCGTGCATTCAAGATATCTTTCATACACACAGTGTTGCTTGAAAATCACTCTGATATATAAGTGGCAAATTAAGTAGCAATATCAAAGGTGAAGGACATATTCGAGGCCAATAATAAAGTCAACATCGAAGTATAAAATGTCAAGCAGCTGAAACACATGTAAACGTAAGCTTCCGAATGGTAGCCTTTTTTTTTCACTTCTACCATGCGACAATTTATTTCCTTGCGGAGAGAAAGCACACACTACAAAAGTGCTCTCAGCGTGAGGCAGTAGATCATAATTGCAACACTGACGCTGCAAGCATAGCTATCAGTCACCAAGCTATCTTAAACACAACCAACTTCTATCATAAGTGAATTTCATTACACTTTGTATTGAGGCGTTCCAAAAATAATTTCTCGTATCCATGCATCTGATTACCCGTAATTGTGATTTAACTGCCACGCCCGCAAAATTTAGTATATATTATCACCCTGTAGAGAAGGCCCGAGTTATCATTGGAGTTTCTACCAACTTTGAAGTAACACCTTTCTTCTATGCTGTCCTGAGCTGAGAAAGGGTATATTACCTTTTTCTTTTGCAAGAATGTTGGAAGTATTGTTGATTTTTGTGAATTTAACAGGAGAAATTTTCAAATATGCTTAGTGTTGACTCTCTAACGGCGCGAGCTCAGTCCACATATCTGCTTTAACTATGCTGTTTGGCAACGTGATGGGCTGATTCAAAACAAACTAAGCATGCAGGAGAAGTTCAGCAAACTTTAAGGTCTGATGGTATCTTTGGGTTAAAATAACGTTAATGCATTGATGCATCAATTTATAAAAACTTGTGCTTTGTTAATGTTATTGTTATTAGATTTTACCTTCCTCTAGGAAACCCACTTGCTAAGTTAAGAAATAAGTGCAATAATCTTGTCCATTAGGCAGTAAGTTGGTGACGTACTGAATTTATTGTGCATATACTTGACGAGTACTTCAGAAGTCAACATGTAAAAAAGTTTTCGGCATTACGTAACCACCTGTACAACTATATATGTGGAAGCTTGTGTGCCGGAAAAATTAACTTTGCCTTTTATGTTTCCTCAGTTCGCAACCTAACACGTCCACTATAATGTCACCTGCGCACTAGCCGATTATTATGAATGTCCGCTGTTTTGCATCATTCAAGTGCAATGCAAGACAGTAAAGCCTGAAGCTCCCCTATTGCATGCATGCAGTTTTTTTTGCTTCATGGGCCGTCAACATGAGCAGCTCACTTTCCGGTGTTCAGTTGCTCCACTTGTTAAATAATTGGTCCAAGTAACAGGCCTAATGATACTACCAGGTTGAACTGTCTAGACAAATGCCAAACAATGCGACCCTTCACTTGTCGGGTATATTTGACAATATTATTACTCTACCTGCCTCGAAGAATGCAGTATATGGGTGACACAACACACATATGTATACAAACTACTACTTCAAGGCAAAAAAAAAAAAACGCAAACACCTAGTGATGATGCTACACTGCAGAAAACTATCCATAGGGTATATATAGGCACAGTATATTTACCTTTCAAGTAGAGTCACTGGGAGACTTCTACTGTGCCTAATAAAACAATAAACATAGAGAGTATAGTGCGTGAAAACCAATATGGGTTTAGTCGTAGCGTCGATGTCCACATATCTTTTCAAGTTAAGGAACCGAATATGCCACAATCCTTCAATCAACAATTATCAATTATCAGCTTGCACTCTATCGTGTCGGCTGAACCAGCGTTAGCAGCGCTGGGGCAAGAGTCCGCAAACACGAGCACAGCAGCGTCGCTTATGCAGGAAGGTCGGCGAAGCAGTCGGGCATACCGCCGATGCCGCTGCACAGGCTTCTTGCCGACAGAGTCGCTAGGCTAACGAGAAGCACGACTAAACGACTACTGCTGATCACAACTTCCATGTCTTGTGGAATTGAAGTCACCGTTTCATTACACACAAACAAAAGTAGGTACACAGATGCGCATGAATGTAACTGTCCCTTGCGCATTGCGCAGTGATGTAGATATATGTACACAGAGTCCACTCGCAGGCGCGGTTCTTTCATGGTGCTGGTAAGTCGCTCGCTGAGCACCGTAGGCCGCACGATGATTCGTATCCCTACCTACCTTCATCGTTGGTGTTTGACATCAATTCCCACATGGAGAAAAAAGAACACTTTTACTTGTACTTTCACACAGCAGAGATTGTTTTCTGCGAAAAAAAAAATGTGTGCGATATCGCTTCACGTGTGGAGGCAATGCACTCAAACCACTGGTCAGCTTCATGTCGACGACGTACGAAGACTACATTTCCTAGTTATCGCTTTGAAGTTGTAGCCACTCACAGTGCCGGAACGCGACCGCTGACAAACAGCTTAGTTTTGATAGCGTGTTCAGTGTTCTTCGTTCACAGTAATTCAGAAAATTGAAGCGAGTTATCCCAAGTGTCCATGCTCGGAGGCTTTCACTTAATTTCGGCCCCTTCATGACAGAAACACGATGTAGTGAAAATGCGAGGGTGATCGTTCTGTTGCTGTGAGCACCGACGCGTGTTGAACTCTCGTCTCCTAACAATTTCTATTCGTTCCATAGTGCTTCGCTTTCACTATGGCGTACAGCCTCTAAAACTCAATATCGAGATAGACGACAGGCCGAACAGCGGAACACGGCACATGGCAATCGCTGTGCAGTTACCCTCCCCGTCAGTCTCTTCATTGCCTGGCGTTCGAGCACGATACGCTCGGTCCCGAATTTACTCCCTGTTTGACGAACTGTTTGTCCGTAGGTTCAACGACTGCAGTTTGTTCAACTTTGACCAGTTTCAGCCTAAATGGTTAAAGTGACTTCAGGGGCCTTAACTACTCTCACACACAAAGGGAGTGATTTTTAGAAGGCAGTGTTCAATGTATAGAGTTCTAAGATATTTGGCTCTATTGTGCGTATCTAATTCTATCCAGCTTAACAAATACTGGAATCCTTAGCCATTTGACGCGGCAGTGACCGGGCCAGATGGCACAAGATACCGAAGATGGACTTCGGTTTTAAAGCCGTCAGTACAGGCATACATAAGGGTATAAGGGTAGAAGTGTTTTGATATCTGCATCACCACAGATCACGCTGCAGGGCTATCTGAGATTGATGCGGTAATTAATTACTTTAACACAAATTTACGCTCGTCTTCACCAGTAGGAAAATCTCTTTATTTCGCGAGTCTTGTTTTTTTTTTTTTGCATGGCCGAAGCTCGCCATGCAAATATTCTCTATGAGAAGCTCCTGTTTTTACTGGATAACAGACAAAGCAACGTTCTGAGTGGAACAGATGATAATGTGCATAATGAATGTATACTTATCCGTGAGGGATGTTGTTAGTAATTTGACTGATTCATTCGAACTATGCTAATGATACCAAATACCAAACTCTTTTTGTTGTCGACAAATGTGTAAGTTTCGGCATCCAATACTGTTATTGTTGCTGTGACAGGAATTAGTTTTTATTATTGATGCGTGCAATACCGAGATTAATACGAGTGAGGCCTTATGTAGCCCCCCCCTCCCCTTTAATGTCCTAACAGTGCAGGGTATACTGTAATAGGGACTAAATCAACTGCAAACGCCGATGTGCTGCAGTTTATTTTAACAGTTTATTTAGCAATTAAAAATGTTTTAGCCAAGCATGAGCAACCCAGAAATAAAAAAAAGAATTTCAGTAATTGTACTGCTGTAACGTATTTCATAAAATGTTTTGAGGTCGTTTTGCAAAAGTACCATCGAAAGACCCTATCACGTCAAGGGCAAATGTCCCTCAATATCGGTTTTTCAGAATTTGAGGCCATTTGAGTAGCAGTCATTCGGTGTACTTTTCGAACTATCTGTTTCTATCCCGCGCTTTGTCTTACACATCTAATGCTTTCATTTTAAGCTGTGTGAAACAATGCTACATATTGACACTGGTCTAGGTGACAGGAATCACAATATCACAAAAGTGTGGAGCTATCTTAAGCTCCCAGACAGTCCAGCATCGTCCGGCTTACCCTTTCCACAAACCCCCTCGTTGCATGAATCTTTCATTCCATCTAGTATACCAAACTACCTACAGAAGAGTTCAATATGTAATGATGCGGAAAGATGCTTTCGTGAAACATAATTTATGAGATGATATCAGTAAGAGTTTGCGAGTATAATCATATAGGGGACCACTTTTCAGGTACAATGAAGATGTGGGTGCATTCTGGCAACATGATCTTCTTGCTGGGAATACTTTGCCTCGTGTCCTTGTTACAAGGCCCGGCACCCGTTGAAGGAACAATTGGCAGAGATGGTACGTACTTATTTTAGCGTGTCTTAACCTTAAACATGACTACAGTAAGCATTTGTATACAAATTTAGGGCACCAACAAGTAGTTATTCGCTTAACACGACAATAAATTAGTTCATGGCCGAAAATGACAACCTTAACGTGTTGAACATCGTAAATGCTTTTTTTTCGATATATGGGCAGCTAACCTATTCCTAGTGTTACTTTTTAGGAGTGCTGAATTGTAATAAAATTTTATGAGCATCAGGCTGCTGCAGAGATCGCAGATATTCTCCATGTAAAAGCAGAAATACTTTACCACAACTAAAATCTCGTGGACGCAAATAAACTAACAGGACCTCATCATATTTTTACTATTTGCTTGAGGGCAGTTACTTGTTTAGGAAAATTTGTAGCGCATAATAATTTATCAATAAAGTTATTTAATCAATAAAGTTATTTCATCATGATAAATTATGGCATACATATTGTTCGGAAATCGGGAAAGATGGATGTCGTTCATATATTCACCATGGAGTTGGAACGAAGTCGAAACTCATCGCGTTCGTAGAGCGCTAAGCACGACTTTTCCAATGTCTGACTGCCGGAACGGCCCTGGACAAAATTTAGAGAAGGCACGGTGAAGCTGAAATCCAGTAAAAAAGCTGTAGTCATCTTTGAAGTGAGACAGCAGATTACGTAGTTTTTACAGGCAATGGGTGGTGCCTAATTGTTCCTCTCTTAAACTGTATAAAAAAGCAAAACACTATTTCGCCTTCTTGCTAGAAGTAGCTATTCCGAGGTGTATGCGTTGCAGGCATATGAGAGGTCGATATAGAGGCTTTCATGTGCATAGTCCCAAATATACGAATAAGCAACAAATACTTTACGCCAAAGTAAGACGATGTGCTGACACCAGTGAGATAGCTTGCTGGTTTCAATGAACTAGTGTGGCTATGGCGCACTTTCATTCAAATTCAGTCGTGTACTTGTCGTGGGTAGTTCCACTCTGGCGTAACAGAGTGGTCGCACTCTGTGTGCGCCTAGCACGAATAGTTTAAATTTCTCCCTTGAAATTTGCCCCGCCGTGGTGGTCTAGTGGCTAATGTACTCGGCTGCTGACACCGCAGGGCGCGGGTTCGAATCCCGGCTGCGGTGGCTGCATTTCCGATGGAGGCGGAAATGTTGTAGGCCCGTGTGCTCAGATTTGGGTGCACGTTAAAGAACCCAAGGTGGTCTAAATTTCCGGAGCCCTCCACCACGGCGTCTCTCATAATCATATAGTGGTTTTGGGACGTTAAACCCCACATATCAATCAATCCCTTGAAATTCGATTATCAGTATCTACAACTACGTGTTACTTTGTGATTTTTTGAAACGGGTACGCCAGGCACTGGCATGCACTACAACTTCCTAATGCAAACGCCTGCGCTAAGTCAATCATTAAATATTAATTAAACAATAATTTATATGGTACAAAAGCCATTCTCGAAAAATTAGTTGTTTGTAAGTAAAGCATTCAATCATATTTTCTTCCGTTTTTTTAAACACCTCATCGATAGGAAACGAACGCGCTAGTATCAGCCCATCTTGAGCCTTCATGCGCACGAGCAAATTTTTTGGCACATTCCGACATCGTCAGTCACTGAGACGCAGCGTTCAACGAAAGTAGTGCGCTATGTTTTCGGTAATTTTATATGTGAAAGATTTCTTCGCGTACTGCAAGTAATTTTGGCGTCTATCTATCCATCTATTCAATAATGTATCTAGCTGCTTACGTATACGTGGTCTCGTTATCACGCCCCTAACTTGGCCTAAACTGACATTAGTATGGGGGGGGGGGTAAAATGTTTTGACGAATAAGACGCGCTAGTTAGGACATTAATAATGCGTCTCTCATAATCATATGGTGGTTTTGGGACGTTAAACCCCACATATCAGTTAGGACATGAATAATGTCTTGTTCCCGTAACGTACCTAAGCAAACACTTTCTGCCAGACAGTGGCCCATACGCACGGGCGGGCATGTAGAACTGGTATGCGGCTAATTGCCACAGGTCATTGACACTTAGTATCTACGCAGGGACGGTCAGATAGGCACGTATGTTCCACTGTTATGCCGATAATGTGCCACAAGGGATTGACACGTAGTATTTACGCAGAAACGGCGAGATGCGCGGGTATTTGCCACTGGTAAGTCGCTATGTGCCACAGGTGATTGACACTTAATATCTACCCGGAAACGTTGTAAATAGACATGGACGATTTTAACCCGTGAGCATCTAGTTAAAGGTGACATCGGCAGCATTCACTCAAACCATTTAAAGAAACATTCATCAGGATGCCAGCAGGAGTCCTACCTCGGCATTTTGTGAGACAATAAAGCATTCTACTACACAGCCATGCCAGGCTTCGTGACTACTTTTCAAATAGAGCCCAATGATCATGAAACGTCAACTTTAGTTGCAGAACTGGCTAACAAATTTTACGAACATTACATATGTACTCCTATGATACAGCCTTCATTCAGGGTTATCATCAATTGTAGTTAGGTGCCACGCCCAGAAGTTGATTTCAGTAGAACCATCCAGGATTACGATGCTCACAAGCACCTGTGCTTCTTATCAGCTTATCGTTTCTGGCATTACTAATACTCACTTCCCAGGGAAAATAGCTGCGAAAGCCCAAACAACGAGTTATATAAACATATAAAACTGTTCTTCTTATGTCTGTGCGAGCAACATTTGCGGTTATATTAGGATCATTTTATAACGTGTCGCTCAATAAAAAAACTACAACCCGGTCACAGTTTCCTCTGAATGCTTCGCAAACCGTCAATTCCGAGTATGTGAGGTATCTGCCGAGTTTTTTCTACTGAAAGGAAAAGGAGGGAACGGATGAAACAGTGATACTGCATCAATGTTGAGAGAAACTGAGTGGCAGCCTAGTAGAAACTTTTAGGTAGATTCAGGCGGCTTTCAGAAACGATGCTACAAGCAGGAAGCAGATTCAGCAGGGGTACACTCGGCCGAAAGACGACCATACACTGGTAGAGGGTGATACACGCTCCATCCCGCTGTGAATCTACCGATATTACTAGATCGTTGCCGAATGAAATGCTTTGTTGCACACCGGCAGCTACCTGAGAAATTGCCTAAGAAGTTGGCATCATATCTCTTTCTGCAGATGTCATATGACGGAAGATTCGGGCATCAAAAGGCTTGCGGCAACACTCGTGCTAAAGCTTCTCACTGTTGAGCAATTGAGACTTCGTGAAGTCTCAGAGTCACACGAATTTGCGGACTTCATGAAACGCTACCCCAACTTCACGAACACCGTCATCACTAGGGATGAGTCTCAAGTGTATAGATACGATCCGGAAAGAAAATCGCAGTCGTCACCGTGGAAGAAATATATGTCAATAAGACCACAGAAATACCACCAAGTGGGCAGCAACGCTAAAGTGATGCTGAAGGAATTGTTTGATTTCCGCGGTGTGGTTCCCCACGAGTACGCACCAGAGGTTCAAATATCACCGAAGATTACTTCAGGCATGCTTTGCATCACCTACGTGATGCTGCGGTGCCGGAGACCTGAGTATCGGTCAACAGGAAATTGGCACATGAACCACAACAATGCTTTAGAACGTTCCTTTCACCTAATTAGGGCTGCTTCTTTTAGACAAAAAAAAACAGATTTCTGTAGTTCAAGAAGCTTTTTACTCCCTTGATACGATTCCCTGCTACTTCGGGCGGCTTCCGAGAATCGAGAGATCATTGAAAGGATGATTGAGTGATATGTGGGGTTCAACGACCCAAAACCACCATATATATAATAAAGACGCCGTGATGGAGGGCTCTGGAAACTTTGACCAGCTGTGGTTCTTCAACATGCACACAAATCTGAGCACACGGGACTAAAGCATTATTGCCTCCATCAAAAATACAGCCACTGCAGCCTGGATTCAATCCCACGATTTGCGGGTTAGAAGCCGAGTATCTTTACCACAAGAAAACCACGGTAGGGCGCCATTAAAAGGAGCACATTTTCACAAAAAACAGGACATTGCGGCCGCAACAGATGAGGAAAATTATCTTTCGAAAGAGGCCTGTCGGAATTATACCAACAATTGTAGCGCTCATGAGAGAACAGCTTGGAGTCGCAAAAATAGTATACTGAGGACGATCTGGTTTCCGACATCCCAGTTGTTCCCTTAGTTGTTCCTTCAGTCGAAGGTTGTACACTTTTGTAGCAGACCTCACATCTCAACCTCGACGTGAAGTTCAACATCAAGTATTGCTGACTGTTCCTTCGTTGTGGCAAAGTACAAACAATGCCTTACGCCACTGGTTTCTCAGCGTTCGTACGGGTAGAGTTTGCTCACGGCAGAAGGGGTGAACACGCTGCACTAATATTTTCAAATACTACAGCCAAAAGCATTGCCAAGAAACAGAATCTTTCACAAGTGCCTCGACAGCTCAGTAGCATAAGAGAATGCCTACGCGTGTGACCAATTATTTTTCGTGTCTCGATGCACTCCCGACGTCTACGTAAAAGATTTCATGCACCAACATGTTTTCTCTCAGGGATAGGTAGGTATCTAGCGATGCACTCACCACGTGTGTCTAAGTGAACGCCCGTGTCAGGGAGCCTTCATGTGCACGCCTTCCTAACTCACGCAGCGTGCGTTCCTAACTCAAACAGCGGTAAACCCGTGGTGAATCATCGCCGCTCCTACAAGGAATGCAAACAAACCGCATCAAGCAACCGTCTCTTTCGACGCCAACAAGCGTTGAACGCCACAGTTTCATCGGGCTGAGTTCCTACCGCCTTTGCAATCTCCAGCCTCTCTTCTCTTAGGCACGCCACACAGTCAATTGTGCCTCAACGAAAGTGAAGGTGCGCACGTCTTTCAGCTTATTTCGTCTTTCTCGTCTACTTTGAGTTCTCCCCGACAGTCCACACGCAGCACTTTGCCTTACAACCAAGGACATCAACTATGCCGAAGACACTAGATAATATGTAAAACGGAGGTTTTTAACAGAATCGCGTTATAAACGGCTCAAAAAGCCATGCGTTCTGACATTTGCGAGCCTTTATCTTATTCTCTACCATTGTTATCACTTTCATATATTTTCTAGAAAACTAAGGGTACACTATAAAACAGGAGTGTTTATGTAGCCATGCTATCAACCACAACTGGAATAAATGTGTGTACTTTATTTCGCCCAATACACAGCACCGAGCACTTTATTTTCATTTATCTACCCAGCATAACATCAAGGCTTCATTGAAAACACAAAAACTTCTTCTTCATTAATTTAATCGTACCTTATACAACCATGCGTAGCTTTTGCTGATATATAAAACAAGAGCCAGGAAATGAGTCGCACTGTTAGGCAATGATTGCAAAAGTGAGAATGCACATGATGATTATATGTTGTAGTGATAATAAAGTGAGGATGCAGTTTTCTCACTGACCATTATGTTTCGGTTCTGACATACTTTGTTCATGTGACAGGTCATCCGATATACGCTAAACTGAAGTTCAGACCTGGAGCACCACCCGCACCCGTTCCTCGTACGTATTCCGCTATTTTTCTCACTGTGTGGTACATAGAGAGTAACGTACATTGAAAATTAAGATTTATAGACTGACACAAAAAATGACTCAATAAAAGAAGGCTATACACCCAGCTTTGTTCCAAATACATGGGCGTCACAGATTTGAAAAGGTCTAAATACAAAAAATTGGCCCCGTATCTGCACGTTTCACTTCAAATGTCGACGAAAGACGATAGTCTGGCGTGTGGAGGGCGGGAACAAAAGGTTTATTTGATGTTCCGGGCGAGAAAATTGGCGCGTTGTATTCTGGAAGCGCTGCGTTAGAGAGTCTCAATCCCTGCAGCGATGGCGAACGAGCGCATCGAGTTACGTTAGACACGGGCGCCATCTGACAGTTATCTTCGAAAACAAAGGAAGGCGTGAGCACCCACGGAGAAAGATGCGCACTTGTCTTGTAGGCGATAAGGAGACGAACGTAAAGCGACAAGCAAGTGCCACCACCACGTCGTCTTAGTAAAGTACTGAAAACACTTGCCTTTTTGAGCATCGCGTTGAGCAGTCATCGCAGTGTGACAACGCTACGGTCCTTAGGATTACTTGTGTGTGCCTTCTCTGGTATAAAGACACAAATACAAACATTTACGTATTGTTATGGTGCCTCAAATATGCGCAATTGCTTTTTAATTGACAATCGCACAAATATGAACGCTGAAACTTGAGCAAAATTGGTAGGCGCTGCGGATATGGTTGGCCGTTCCAGGTATCGTTAGGTCCTTTTAGTGAAATTGTTACCGTGGACGAACAGAGAAATGGACAGACAGACAGACAGACAGACAGACAGACAGACAGACAGACAGACAGACAGACAGACAGACAGACAGGCAGACAGACAGACAGACAGACAGACAGAAAGGTAGAAAGACAGACCAAAATTTTGGCGTTGAAAGTCCCGATCAAAGAGTATCATCTTTAAAATTCCTCCACTATGACTTCATATTGAAATTCGTGAATTGGTAGGCTTCACCACAAACGAAGTAAAGGGGCCCATACTCGTTGTAAAAAAAGAGGGGTACAATGACATTTCAAGCTGTATGATAAGTTGTACTCACATTGGAAGACATCCTCACTCGACCCAGATACCCTGAGCCTCCTGGCCTGTCCCTGATATCAGCCAATGCTGCTACTTCACGACCGCAGTCCTTGGTCTTGAGGTTGTTTTGCCTGAGTGTTGCATATTTGTGGCAGAAAATATGATGTTACGACAAACTAGCATTACTGAAACTACTATACAAGTGATGTTGCTTTATTGCCTTGAAAACAAAGGAGTGATAGCGACGTTGTTGCATGACATGGTACCACAAAAATGGTAATGCAGGCACTACACATTATGTAGTAGAAGGATTAGTTTTCGAAGAGGCAAAATGAATTTTGCCTGTTTACATGAATGCCTATTTTCACAGAATCGTGAAAATAGGCAAGTACTTGAGAATGCTTCATTTCAAATCACCTTCGTTGTATTATATTTAATCAATTATTTGCTGAACCATGCACTTGATTGCATGCAGCATTTCATTACTGTGATTTGCATTGCTAAAATGAGTTTGATGTAACTAGTTGTCTATAACTATTGGTGTGTCTTTTTCTTGTTATCTTTAGATTGTGAGCAGCTGTGTCTTTTTCTTGTTATCACTAGATTGTGAGCAGCTATATACTGAACAGTTTCTCACCTGTCCTAAGAGAGGTGTTGATCGCCCGTAGAAAATATTAAAACATCTTCTGCAATGAATGTGAGGACGTCATGGCCAGCACTCACAGCCCTGGTCAGCTTGAAAAGTGCCAAGATGCCACACTATCTTGGTCAGTGGTTCTCAAGTGATGTCCATAGAACCCACCGGGTCCACGAAGCCATTTTAGGTGTCTGCAAAACGCACCTTCTGACTAAGAAGGTGCGTGACTAAGAAGAAGCCCTTTATAAGGCACAGTATGTCTTGTGGCAGCGGCTCTGATTTTTAGGTTCAATGCTTCACCGAATAAACATTTCACAATGTAGTGGAGTTGATATACGTTACGCCTTATTCATTAAATGTTGTAGAAAATTGCAGTTGGTCATATTTGAAAAGCGAGCATAGCTAGAAAAAAATATAATGTGGTTGCGGAATGGAAACATTACTGGCAAGATGTTTAGATCGAATTTGTGGGACTGTTTTTCTTGACCATTCATGACCACGAGAAAACAAACGGTATCGATTGCATGGCGCATGATGTGTTAGTTTAGAATACCCTTTCTCCGCTTTTTGTTTCTCCCCAAGAACAACGAACTTAGGCGTAAGTATTAAAGGTGATTGTAAAAATAACACTCTGTGTTATGCTCTGTAAGCTATAAAATATTTTGATTCGTCTATCTTACACTGTATTTAGGACCTGGAACCTACCACACGCCTGTTAAAGGGATGAAAAGTACGTATTTCTTCTCAGTTCTTTTAGATTGTTGATAGTAAAAGAGGCAGCAATACATGCTCTTATAGAAATTGTTTACAATATATTGTTCAATAAAGTGCACGCACTACTGGACTGTGACACTTGAGAATATGCAAACCTTCCTTTCTTAGTGAAATGCGAAAACAGTGCATCTCGCATAGCTGATCACAAATATTATATTGTAAAGAAAACAAATTGCGATGAGTTCTTTTTTTTCGATATTACAGCTGGGAGACGTTGTGCTTTAAGCGCTTTAAAGGGCAGTGGCAATGTGAGTTAGTTTATGCAGGTAATAATGATATTGTTATTGCCTCTCATTTTCTCCGGCACTGCTGGGAAAGGTTTGACAGAGGACACTTCCGCAAGCAAACGCCTGAGTGTCGATGTGTGTAGAAGCTACGCAGTTAAGCTGTTCCTATATAAATGTGTCGTCTACTATCACTTAGCATCATGCAGTCAAGCTTTCTGTGCTCGTGGAATACGCACTCATTTTTACAGGTCAGAACTGGGTGGATATATCGGAATTGTGTCTTCAAGTATATAAAATAATAAACAGTACTACTACCTACTGATTTTCCTTGATTGCCTTTATCGTGCGATATATATTTACATCTTCGTTGCTCTGTTTAAAGAGACCCGGTACCCCTTAATAAAGCCAGCCATATAATGGTGCCTTTGAGTAATGAAGGTGTCTGCATACACTGGGACAAATTATGTTGCACCAAATCACTGTTTGCCATGGCGTCATAGATGTACAGGGGGCACGCTATTTTCTACGTATTTCTTTTTGAAATAAAAAAAATATGTTCTCAACTGCTGCAAGGTTCACCGCACAAAGTGGGAAGAACATTTATTGAGCCGATCTGCTAAAAATACGAAACTAAATTCTACAAACTAAGCGTTGCGATGATTGTGCATATGCCTGTTTTTTTTTCTCAAATTCTCAAAAGAACCACCGCCCCCAAGTCGTCTTTTGAAGCCTGGTACGTATCGCCTTTTTATGATGCTTCCAATTTTTCGTCGAACCAACCATAAGAAATTTGTTTTGTGTACTCGTGATATAGCGCTAGCTGAAATAACAATGTATAAACGTGCTGCAAATATGATCCTGTTTTTTGTATTTTATAGGTAATTTCTTCCGGTTTACTCATTTTAAAAAGGAATAATCTCAGTAGTATTGTTGAATATTTTGAAAGATGAGAAGCATAACAGCCCCTTCCTCCCCCAAAATCAGATTACTCAAAATAAGTGCCGCCAGTGTCCTTGTGTGAAGGTTTTACAATTCTTAAAAGATTCTATGATCAAGCATGTGGGCGAACAATGCCACGTCTAGTCTGAATATACGTATGCTTATGAGCAGACTTCTCCACAAATTGAGAATTTTTTATTAAATGTATCTGCTTTTTTTCTTATCCACTGAGGTAGGTTTCGTTTACACCTACATGCTAGGCACATGTTGTATCACTTTTAGATGTAACGGTAGTACAGAAAAATACACCAGTTGCGCCTATTTGATACTGCACAGCAGAAATTTACTATTGCAGTAAAAATCACTGCAAAGCGCACGATGAAAATACAAGCTGTAAACAAACTTAGACTGAAGAAAATGAATATTTTTGTTTCATTATGAAGCATATATAAACGCCAACTGAGTATTGGTTGTATTGCGCGTTAGTAAGTACCTAAGTGCTCAAATTAGTGAATTATTTTACAACGTCAACAAAAATGCTACCCAAGAAGCAATGGTCCTCTAAGATTGTGTGCGGGATTGAAAGATGTGTTTCGCACGCACCTGTAGCTGTGAATAACACACAAAGATCCTTCACAACCTTTGACGTCACTTTCGCTTGCAGTCATAGACATCTTCGCACAAAATTCACAACAAAAATAAAAGATAAGTTTCTGTCCTCGTAAATCTCTGGCAGCACTGACAGAGTCAAGTACAAAAGTATTGAAACATAAATAAAGTACTGAAAAGATGAATTTTGTTGTCCTGAAACTGAAAACGCTTCGCATTAACGTAATGCACAGACAGTTCATATGAATAAAAAAATTTTGCATTTTATTGAAATATGAAATCATGACAACATGACGTTCATGACCTCTATATTTTTCTTAAACAGGTCCACCAGACCCAAAACGTCACTTGAAGCCTCGTATGTATTCCATCGCTCTCTTACTGCCCTACTGCCATAAAATATGCCTTGAGATATTTTAAGTTTTCATGCCCTGAATAGCTACGGGTTGAACACACTTTTGTCTCCTCAGAAGTTCTAGATTCTTCTTCCACAGGACACAACAATTGCAGTTATCATGTATAAAAATACATTATTAGTGTCAGTATACTTATTTGTGGTGAATATGCAAATAATATTTCTACAAAAGAGGTTTCACGCTACGATATCATGACTCTAGGAAAAAAAAACTTTATTATCTTTCTTGAATCATTCTTACGAACCAAGTTGTAACAGAGTGAAATTGAGGACTATTATTTTATACACGCATTGGCACTAGTGTATATATATTGCAGATCTTCTTTAGAAACTTTAAGCAAGCAACGTGATCTTCAATTTTTGAAATTTGCTTTATGTATTATTGACTCTTGGGGGCGTTGCAAAATAGCAGAGACCTTCTGGTTTCAATATGTCACAATTACTAAAAAAACATTTAGCTTACCAAAATAATTTATTTAGGATAAAGTTTCGCACTAACTTTGTTTGGTAGGGTTCAAGGCGTTCAAATGGTTGACGAGAACCAGATGGTGGCATATGGAAATTGTTTTTCAAGGGCTGTTATTCACTGCACCTAGAATAAAGTTGTTGGTGCTTGCCGAAAGTTACCGCCCCTAGTGCAACTCGCTCAATTCACCAAGTGCCTTTCCGTAGAGAAGACAACAAACCAGCACCTCTTTCCGCGTGCCTTTGCGACCAGCTTAAAGGCAAATTCTGAGCCGCGTTATTGCCTATCACGTCTATCGCAGATGGCAGCACGTTGAGAACGACAAATATAGGACTTTGTGAGAGTACTTTATTCCTGTAAGTAAATGGAGATTTGTTGAATATCAGGGTCACCGCGTTGTTTTAGCCTGAATAACAAAATACAGATGTTGCACGCATAAGTACACCATATAGTGCAGACACTGACACCTATTTTCCCTCTTTGAAGTTGCACCACGATGAATATCCGTTAAGTCATCGTGTGCTGACCAATTATTCTTTTCAGCAGTAAAGCCATTCATCTCGTTATTGAACACTGCGGTACACCTAGGTCTGCTAGTATATTTTAATGCCGTCACCTGCACTTAGATTTTACCGTCCTCAGTACCATGTTTGAGATGTGCAATAACGTGCGCTAGCCGTGGCTAAGTGTATATGCTTACAGAATGTGTTGTCCTACAGCATAAAGCAACATTTTGTGTTGACCAAGGCAATAGCTTTTAGCGTCTCATGCTGACGTTCATCCGTCTGTGCCCTAGCACTGTGCCAGGTGCCCACTGTGGCGTACGATCGCACCTCGCATCGAACTCTACAGCGCTCACGCTTAGGTTGGGTAACTTCACTAGGTACAGCATGCTGTATCATGCAAAATATAAGAGGCACGCTTTCTGTTTTATTGAGGCCAATCACGTCTCAAAAGGCGCAAATGTCTGCCGAACACACTTTATAATTCAGAAAGCGTGGTGCATTTTTTCTACCAATCTACTGGTACTTCAGTCGTTAAAAAGCGTGTTCAAAATGGTTCTAATTAGAAATATATTAAAAACTCTCAATAATAAGCATGATTGTAATATTTTGGCACACAAGAGATATCTGGAGACCTTACAATCAATACAACAAAGGCAAGTCTTTTTTGTGAAGTGTGGAATGACCTGATCGCAGTACTCCTGAAACAATGCGCAAAAGGCGTAGATTCTGCAGCAATTTTTGAAGAGACGACTACGTTATATACAAGTAAGGAGATGTCTTACAACTCACGCTATCAGAAAACAACGTCGATTCTTTGCTTTAGTAAGGGCGAAACAGAGATAATACATGTGGCTCTAAACTCGAGGAGATAATTGTGAGTTATAAAACTATTCTCACGGTGTATGTCTCGCACGCCCCACACAATGGGGTAAAATTTCTTTCACTAACACATTGTGCACTGCAGAGCTTTTCTTGAGATCTATTGCGCAAAAGCGTGGAAAAGTATTTTATAGCCATTTTGCTATGGCTTGAACAACAGACGCTGAATCGTATCTCGAGAAGGACTAAAGTGGACAGTGAGCTTTCGCGAAGCCTTTAAAAGCGATTCATAATCACAGTAACACTTGCAACACAAACTATACCACATTTTTTTTTGAAAAGTGATATGGTCTTGGTGAATATAGTGCGTTTCGACGTGCTTTCGTTGTCATGTGACGTATTTTCTGAAGCCAAAACAGCCTTTAGATTTATGTCGCAACTTGCAGACCGTCATGTTACGAACGTTAATGAAGTTCGCTTCTTAAGAGAAAGCTCAGGAATAATGCAGTTTCTTAGCTTTGAATTTAAGGTAATCGATAGTGGCAACAACAACAAGGAAGTGGCAACAAATTCAATATTTTTTTAGAATAATTCACAAAACAACGTTAGCGCAGACATTTCCTTGTCGGCGTGAACGACTCTAGTGAGTACGAGAATTTCACATGCATTCTTAAAAAGGGCGTATTGAGGGTTATTCCTTGGCTATTGTTCCACGACCTTGATCGCAGGCATGTGATAGCTTGAGCTATATCATTCAATAATATACAAGACAGTTAAAATGCTCACTTTAAAACGTATAGATTACAATGATATAGCAACGGTTTTGCATACAACTCGCTGAAAAATGGTACTCGTTTTCGTGTTTTATAGACGAAAATATCTCGGCTTTTTCTCATGTGAACAATGAAACGAAACATTGGAGCTCTATTAAAAGAAGAGTAGATCGATAGTTTATTCTAGAACAATATAGGCCAAGAACGTTTATGGCTGAAACAAAATAAGGCCATCCGACCCCGCACATACTCGTACTCCTCGTTGACGTCGCCGCATGGAGGTTAGCGTAATTGCAGGTCTGCTGTTATGCAACGCCATATTAACACGGATCGCAGCTTTGCGCGAAATTCGCTCTAGAGCGATTTTGCGCTTTCGTAACGGGTGGCGTCTCCGGCAGCGTGAAGGACAGTCCTTATCCTGCCTGGCTGAGAGCTGCACAATATGTTCAAAGGCCGCGGTTGGCTTTGCATCTACCGAGGGTCGAGAGAGATGCACTGTACAGGACGCACAGGGCATCCACCGAGAGTCGAGAGAGCTGCTGGTTTAACAATGACGTTTTGATGGTGCCTCACACATTCTCAATAATGGTTACGTTTGGATAATGCACACGCCACTCAAGAATATACACATACCGAGAGTCCAGAATGCTCCAACTATTCTGGACTTGTGAATGGGGAAGTTGACAAACTGCAAAATAAAGTTTCCTTCAAGGAAAGGCTTCCTCAGAGGATGTGGGTACAAGAAGTCGTTCAGGACTGAGCAACATTATTCAGTGGTGAAATTGTTATCTATCCTCACTAAGGTTTCCCAGCCGGCCGGTGGGAGTGGACCCTATAGATACTCAAAGACAAAAGACCAATGGCTGCTGCTACAAGCTGGATCAATTTAGGCATATATCCAAATGAAAACGAATGTTTATTGCAAACAAAACAAAAGAATACAAAATTGTGCGCGACTATTCGGGCTTCCTGATATGCTTGAACACGTTCAGTAAACGTTTCGAAACTTTATGAAATAGATTTCCACTTGTGGAGCACAAAATCATGTGTTCCTTCATCTACTGGACCTTAACAACCTTTTTCGCAATGGCAGAGTTGGACCAACGTGTAGAATTGAGTTTAGGGGGAAGATTAAATTAATGAATACGATTTCATAAAAGCAGTGGATGTATTGTCGTACTCCATGCTTACTTCCGAAAACAATGAGTGCTCTGGCTGAGTAAACATTGCATTTCAAAGATCAGGGATATCTATTATAACTATATTTTAAATTAGGTAAAGATTGAATATTGTGCCTTGTGTTTAGGCAGTGCACGTGAACATAATGGCATACAAAATTTGGATTTGAACGTACCAGCTACAAATTTCTCGGCTCATGTGAGCTGTTATGAGCAGTTGTCCGAGGTTTTACATGCGCTGCCTTTGGTCCCACATTGTGGTAAATGTCGATACGTCGGCTGAGACAGCATTTTGGTACTCGTGAGTGCAGTGCTCATGTTCTTGGGCAAACACTAGGCGCCTCTCTTTTTTGGTTGCCCTGACTATCGGCCTTTGGACGGCTCTCCTGTTTTGGATGCCACCTAATGTAGACAAAGTTGCACCGTGATATTCGATGCACGCCGTTGACAGCCACGGAATTCGCTTATGTTCTCAGAAGGTCGACGCAGCAAAGCCAATTGGCGTATCGAATGCCCCATGGCCATTTTGGCTGCATTTTGGTGAAAGTGACATGCTAAAGGCCCGTGTACTTGGGTTCCGCTGCCCTTCAATAGAACACCCGATGAATTATATACCAGTTTCCTCCATGACGACGTCCCTCACAATCATATCGCTACAGGATGTGGGGAACGTAAAATCCCATCCATTACTGCAACAAGTGTGAGTGTGATGACAGCGTAACACCATCTTACAATTTTTCATAGCCATTATGCTTGCAGAAATGAGACTACAAGCATACATTACGCTTACTTAGATATCATAAATATAATGGAAGGCAGCTTAAAACGACATATGTGCGTGTACACGAAGGGACAATTGTATTTTAATTGATAAAATGAAGATGACTTGAGGCATGTCTTTATCATGCGAAACCGAATGTCACATGAGCTGCAGAAAATCGCGACATTAAGAGTTAAGTTTGTTTCATGGAAGCGCAAGCTCAGCGCGAGCATTGTAGCAGACAAAGCGAAGTCACACCTGCAGGCACTACCGCGCCTGCGCAGGTTCGCTTCGATGCGTGCCCGCGCTGGTGGCAGGGGTGCTTTGCGGAGCGCGGCCACGCGCGCACGCGTTCACCCTAACAGTGACCGGCACTGTACGTTACAGAGATTTGCACAATATATATATAGTGAAGACAATCAGTATTTAGTGCTTTATTATAAAACTGCTTTTCAGGGCAAGTTAGACACATAGTAATATTGAATTAAATTAGTGTTCTATGTAAATTTATTGATTTTTTTACAATAGCTAATATATTTCTGGAAATTTATACATCATAAGAGACTTCTTATTTCATCATATTACTTGCAGCTCCAGCTTTGCCTCCCCGGGGTCGGCCCCAAGTGCCTCCAAGTATGTATCATCATGCACAAGCTTCACTTACCAAAGTGCCAGTAAAAATATCTATCTATCTATCTATCTATCTATCTATCTATCTATCTATCTATCTATCTATCTATCTATCTATCTATCTATCTATCTATATATCTATATATATATATATATATATATATCTATATATATATATATATATCAATCTATCTATCTATCTATATATCTATCTATTCGCTGATGTGTTAACTCTTGCGTGGTCATCTCTTTAGATACGCGGATACCGCAAAAGGCGTAAGAGAGCACAAAATAATGCCTAACAAGACCAACAGCTACAGCCATGCATAAAACTAATATCTCTCCCTCTTTCACGTGTGACTTTTCAGTGTTTAGCCTAGTCCTTTAAATACGTGTATAGTTCAAACTTCATTCACAGTGTACACAAATTAGGAACAACGAGGCCTGTCTTTGAAGTTGATAACGGGAGAGCGTTATGAGGCCGCCGTCACAGATATTGCGGCGCCGACATCAACAACACAGTCGGTGAACAGAAGGGATTACCGAGGCAAACACTAAGCATCATAGTTCGATGTGATGTCTACGCCAGGTAATCTGCATGACAGTCTACTTTTATATCGCCAAGCCACGCCAGTGCCCGTAGATCTGTTGCGGAAGAACAGCTGTTGTCTCGGGACAACATAAATAGTGGGTGTAGTGTTGCCTACGGGCTGTGTTGACTTTGAAAGAAGCGTTAAATACGTACTATAATTTCAAGAAATATAGCATATTGTTGCTCAGCCACTGAGTATGCCACGACAACCACTACTCCTGGTTTGCGCATCATTACATATTAGCTTGCTCTGATTCACAAAAAATGACGTCTAAACTGTGTGCCTGAGTAGCGCCGGTACGTCAGCTCTTTGGACGTCTAGATGGTTGGCGGGCTTTCTCAGTACATATTATGCGAACGTCTATTCAGGATAAACATATGTAATCGTCATTCCACCTTGCAATCCTGGGCTAAAAAAACACAAAAAAAAAATGTAGCCACGGCTGCGACTCGCCAACTTCTCTGATTGAGATTGGCTCTGAAAGTACTTGGGATGAGTCATAACTTTTCATTTCCAACGGGCAACGAGTTAGGAACAATGGAGGCGAAATATAATATAATGAGTTGTAAGTACCATGTAGGTTTGTGGCCTGTGAAGATGTAGCAAGTCTAGCCAAAGCAACAAGCGTCCTAAACCTGTTTAAGACCTATAGTCGCTTTGGAAAAAGAAACGCTGACATGAAAAGATGCAAGATCTTTAAGAAAAATTGTCGCTGCCAAGTGTCGTAACACGGTGAACTGCGTGACGTTGCTTATCGATACAATCCGCGCAGAAATTCAATGTGCTACTCACCTAATAAACGTATTCTAGCACACACAGCCAGGGTATAAAGCGCAAGAAGCTATAACAGGGGAACAGGCCTAATTTCATTTTCAGTTGGAATTGGCCACAAAAACTTGAACACTCCGGGAGAATTAGCTAAAATATACTTTTAAGCGCCCGCATAACAAATGTTTCTTGTTCCCCCCCCCCTCTTTCTCCAACACAATTTATTTTGGACAGTCTCAAACTGATTGATTGAGTGATTGATTGATTAATATGTGACGTTTAACGTCCTGAAACCACCCTATTATTCTGAGAGGCGCCGTAGTGGAGGGCTCCGGAAATTTCGACCACTTGGGATTTTCAACGTGCACCCACATCTGAGCACACGGGCTTACAACATTTCCGCCTCCATCGGAAATGCAGCCGCCGCAGCCGGGATTTAATCACGCGACCTGCGGATCAGCAGCCGAGTACCTTAGCCACTAGGCCACAGCAGCGGCGCGACCATCTCAAGTTGTATACTGTCTAGTTATTACAAGATACGGCCGTCGATAGCATATATTGCCTGTGCTTGATGAGCTGTTAGCTCATAACATAGCACTCTTCCTGAATTTAACAGCCTTCTTCTGCCAAGCGTGCAAATTTTTCACAACATAAAGCTTGTAAGTTTTAGTTCTATATAATTAAGTGAATGAATGCTAGAATGTCTCCACATGAATTTGCGATTTCGTGCAAATATGTGTGGCACTACTACGAACGAGTCTGAAGAATAGCGTTGGTAATATGTATAAGTATTGTGTTGAATATTTCATTTTCTTCATGCTAGTATAATGCATGTCTAACTCCTTACGTTTCAGGAGTAGGGTCCCTTGCAAAATAGCCCCCGTCTCGTAAGTATCTTTATCACATACAATCTGCCGAAAAGACAAAATTACTAGAGCCTATTTATTTGTTTTGAATAGTGTTATGTGACTGCAGTGGAGTTGCACTCATAGTTTAAATTTTGGATTTATGGAGTGTTTGTTCTTCGTTGAAGCAAACTCTCATAAGGGTAAGTTGTATGTTACAGTGCATTAATTTGGAAACATTTATCGTATTGTATGTGAACGAGACAATGTGTAAGGATAAAATCGTTTTATTACTTTTCTAATGCACCAATTTGTCACTTCTAATTCATTCAGTTTTGATGGACTGCAGTCTTCATAATGTGAACATTTTGTCATGTTGCTTTGAGAGCGATTCATCAAAAAGTGCACCCTATAATAACGAAATAATAGTTTGGTCGACATATATAGAGTAAAAGGGGAGTGATGATAAGGCTAGAACAATATTTCTCATAGCAAATATCGCACTGGTATAATCAGTTCGTTGGTTTTACACGTCATCACTTGAGGCATCTTTTTTTTTTCCTAAAAGAGCCAAAGGCACTTTATCTGACCCGCGAGAAACTCTCTTGTTTTGCACTAGGAATATGATCTGACCTGCCCTAACAACTGTTAGCCAGTGTGTTTCATTCCTCTAAATATAAGAAATTTATGATGTGGGTAAAACCATCATAGCCCAATATTGCCAGTACTGAGGGAAGAAAGTTTGTATTTGCTCCATATAAATTCAAATATTTAATTTACACATGAATAGACTCGTAAAATGAACGTAAAACAGTTTGAATGTACGGTATAGCAATTTTTCCCGAGCTAACCTCATCCTTGTGCTTCCCTCAGTGCCATGCTTCGTCGCATGGGCGTATTGGAAATTACTAGATTTGAAGAGAGAGTGGTCTTTCTTGAAAAAAACGTGCACTATTCTTCCCTTCCATCAGTGTTTTCTTGTTTGTGGCGTTTATTGAGGCCCTTGAAAAGCGTTCCGGTATATTTTATGTCATTGTGTTTCGAACCACTCCAGCTTTAGGGAATGAATAGTTTCCAAAGTGTCCATTTACTATGTCTTTCATTCGAAAAAACCATGTTCGACGGACCGAATGGAATAAGAGGCAGAACAAAATCGAGTTGTCGCATTTACCATCAAGTGCTTCATTAAGCGATACCTTGCCCTAACTATTTGGAACGTTAACACCCTAACAATGCAACTAGAACACAAATGAAACATCTTGGGTGAAACCATGTTGGCTTTTTTTCTCATGATTCTTGATGCAATGTTGAGTCAACGAATATGGCTAAATGTGAATAAAACAGTTGAAGTATTCGGTGCATTTTCTCTTAAGAGCTGCCATTTTTATTTTTTTTAGCAATAATGAATTGTTCCCATTTTCACTTGAACTGCTGTAGAAGCTGAAGATACTTATGCGGCCTTTGCGCTAAAGAGAAATTTAGCCTTATTTTGGATTATGAATCGGATTTCTTCAGTAAAAAATGCTTCAATTGTGCTACAGTTGTTATGTTGTCTATCTACAAAAATTAGCAAAGTAACTTTTTATGAAAGAAATTCTTAAAAGGTGTTGTAAACCTTCACGAGCAGATATATAAAAAAATAAAGGTCTTATAACACACGTTTGCTTTATTCACATTACAAACGGTCCTACACAGGCTGCGATTTATTGCTAGGTAGCAGGTCGCACAAGATGGTCTTAATTTTACACTTCAATTTCTTTAGATAGTTTCACTGCGTTGCTAGGCGAATAGGCTACTATTTTACAAGCCGTAAAGGGAAGTCACGTGTGCCTACCTTGCCTGGATGGTATCACACAAGAAGACGGGACTCCCGACAATGTAACTGTAGAATAAACTCTTACTATAATTGCATGTCGAAGCGCCGAATGACATGTCAAGAATAAATTCATATAAATACACTTTAACATATATCCGTGCACACTTGGGCGTTTTATATAATAGTACATGGACTCGAACAACAAATATGCAAAAACAGATTTGTTATACTGACGCAACAGGGTTGCAGAAAACAGGTCATATCAGGCATTGCGTGAATGACTTAGATAATAATAATTACAACTTTGTAGTTATACCAATATTTACAATTAGTTCTGTGCATCTGCATGAGAGTTAAAACACGCCCAAACAAATATTGCAATGCTCACCAGCTGTTGTTTTTGTGATTAGTGTATCTACTGTATTCTTACTGAACCGATCATTATGCGCATAGCCGTTGTGGCATCGGCAGTGTTTAACGTAAAAAACAAAACAAAATGCAGCATATCACTTTAGTACGTCATGTTGTTCAGGTATTCATAAGTTCGCGAGTTGACCCTGAGCCCTCTTGGCATATATATATATATATATATATATATATATATATATATATATATATATATGATCTGTGTGTGTGTGTGTTTTGGCGGAGCTCCGCCTTTTTCACGGCAGTTCCCAGTGAAACGTCGGCTTAAGAAACAGTTGCTACGTGAAAGCTCATCTACTTTCAAATATATATATATATATATATATATATATATATATATATATATATATATATATATATATATATATATGTGTGTGTGTGTGTGTGTGTAAAATGGAAGCCTCGGTTTTGTATGACAAGAAAGGCTCAGACATTACTTGGCGAAAGACTGTTTATGAGGCTGGTTTTGCTACCGCTTGCCTGAGCAGTAACTACAACCGTCTATCGTCGTCATCGTCTATCAGTGGAGCACCAGCCTTTTCCAATCAATATATTTATATATATATATATATATATATATATATATATATAGATATATATATATATATATATATATATTAATGTATAACACGGTGAACAACAAGAGACAACACCCGATCCTGGGCCAGCTGTTCTTATTCTGACTTCGTTCTTCTCTTCTTTGCTCTAGCTACCCGCGCGCCGAAGCGCCAGCGTATTTCTTGGTCATGACAATCGGCCATGACGGCGCACGCGGAGCTGGCGGCAAAGTTTCTGGTGGGCGGGCTTGGCTGCATCGTGGTGGTCAGCCCGGGCCACAATGTAACATGGAGCGACGGTCTGGGGGAAGCGTCTCTGGTGGACGGCACTGGCTGCCTCGAGCTGGTGGCTCTTTTGCACGCCACGATGTCCATTGAAAAAGTGCTGTAGACTCAGGCGGCCGGCACTGGCTGCCCCGTTGCGGCCGACGCTCTCGGCCGCGATTTGGTCCCGGTATCTGCCAAAGGTAGATTTGGCGGTTGATATAGTGGCTGCATCTCGGAGGTCGGCTTTGGCCACGCTGAAAATGGGTGCCAGAGTCTTCCACAAGTCTGTCGGGAGGTCGAGACTGGCTGCATCGTTGTGGACGGTCTCGGCCATGGAGAGACTCTCTGTGGGAAGCAGCTAAACTTGCACCTGACAGCGCGCTTCGGACGGGCCGCAAAATCAGCAGCAGACGTTGAACTCCGGACGAGGGTAGCCGAAAGAGTATCCCAAAAGACGCGCTGGTACCTTGGGCTCTACCGGTGCCATTACCGTAGGCGGTTCAAGCAAAGGCGATGCTGGTGTCTCCACTTGCCCCAGTAAAGGTGATATTGGGGCTGGCTTCTCTAACTGAGCTGTATGAGGACTGGTATCAGCCTCTTCCACTGACATGATGGCATCGCGTACCGGCGCGGGTACCGAGAGCAGTAGTGGCGTGTGGCACCTGCGTCTGACGTCATTCGTAGGACAGGCGGAGAAGCTTACTGCCGCGCGGCTGGAGGGCTCCGAGGAGCCTTCGAGGTGTTGCTCCACTTCAGCTCGGTGTGCGAATGGGGTTGTGTCGGTGAAGGGCAATGCAGCACAGTCGAGATGATTCTCTGTGGCTGTTTCGTTGGAGCAACGCCCTTCAAGAGGTCCGACTTCGGTAGCGGCCTCTGGCCGCAGTGAGCTTGCTTCGGGTATCGACAAAGTGTCTAACTTCTCGTGTGGTAAGCTGCAGTGCACAGCTGCAGCCTCGAGGTGGAAAGCCTCTGGAGCTTGCTCCTCGGTAGTGGCCAGGTTGGACGGGGTGGTGGAGGAGAGGTGGTAAGGATTACGACCGAAAGCAGCTATGAGCTTGCAGCTCCACTCTGCCCATGACTGCTGCTTCGAGCCTTCATACCGGTGCCACGCCGCTGCACCTTCCCGAAGACGGTCTACAGCCACGGTCCATTTCTGATTTTCTGTCCAGGCCTCGCGCATTGCTATCGCGTTGACGGTTGCCACCCAGCTGTCGGCGTCGTTACCGACCCCGTGCAATTCCGGTAGTTCGCAGACGGCTGGTGATTGGGAGGTAACAGGTGGCAACGCAGAGATCACTGACGCGAAGCAGTCGAGCTGGCGTGAGAGCTCGATCAGAGAAGACCGAAGCTCCCTGCGTTGCTCCGGTGTGCTTGCCTCAAGGTCGTATGAGGCAGCTACATCCAACACTGCGTTAATGTCACACAATGCTGGCAACATTGTAGGAGTTTGCTCGGCGATCAACGCTGACAGTTTGTTAGTTTCGGCGCGGAGCAATGCGATGGTACGCCGCAGCTCCACGGCACTGTCGCACGAGGCTTCTGAACCACTTTGGTTCGCGTCCGTGAAGTACGTGGTCCTAGTAGTACTCACGGTGGTGACACGCACGTCCGAAGAAACATGAACAGCGTTTCTTGGTGGCTTATATGTTCAAGAGTACCGGACAGGGAATGCAGGCCGTGGGAAGCTTGAAGAGCATTCCCAAAGGACAGGAGCCCGTGCGTCTTACGGCCGCGAAGTGATAGCATAGTGTCCATTGATTGGGTGATGCCCTGGTACCACAGAGGAGGCATGGACACCGTCCACTGATGGTCCGATGGGCAGCTGAAGCGGCGGCCAGGTTGTTGACTCCATCGCCAAAGAAGCATGAACGGCGTTCCCAGATGGAGAAGCCCGCACTGCCGACGAAGCACGAAAACACGTACCGGGTGGCTTTCTGCAAAGGGTTCACCTGTCGGACTACGCCATTGTGATGTACAACACAGAGAACAAGAGACAACACCCGATCCTGGGCCAGCTGTTCTTATTCTGACTTCGTTCTTCACTTTTTTGCTCTAGCTACCCGCGCACCGAAGCGCCAGCCGTCTTTCTTGGTCATGACAATATATATATATATATATATATATATATATATATATATATATATATATATATGACGTATCAAGTGATGGTTAGTAGAGGTAGAGATGGAAGAAGTCGGAGATTGAAAAAACATGAGGTGTGAGCCAGGCCACGTCTCCGAGATCTAGCGTCACACGAGTCGACAGGATGAAGACCTGGCGGCCACTTCATCAACAAGCCACCATCTCCGAACGTCTCAGCAAGACGCAGTGACCGAACGTGGACCACGAAAGTACATCGCAACACTACACCAAGACCAGCATTATGACAGCACCATCAGACGACCTTCCCATCCCCAAGTACACCGGAGCAGCAGACGATGAACCTGTACAGGACTGGTTCGACCTGTTCGAGCACCACGTAAACGCTGCATCATGGAACGGGAAATGATCACCAACTTCACTGACTACATCTCCGGTGAGGCATTCAAGTTTTACCTGACACACATATTCGAAAACGACGAATCATGGCAAAAGATCAGGGAAGAGATGATTGCCCGTTTTAATGACTACGACAAGGACTTCCTCATTACCGACCATCTGCATACAACCACACTCGACCGTCACAGTCCACGCTTATTTCTCAAGGAACGTGGCGTTCCACCAGGTTTCTCTTCATGAAAGTCGGCATTTCCAAAGTCGTGGCACCAACATACGACACGTTACGTCGCTCACCCTACTGATGCCTTTCATGCTTCGTCTCGCTTACATGGTCCACCACCTGGTTTTCTACGACGCAGCTCTTCAAAGGCTCCTAACGGACACTATTTGTGTCATAAGGACGCCTTGTTCATGGTAGACCAGCTGACACATGGGGAAAATACCAAACAACGCCAAGATGACTCAAAGAGTGAAAATCAGTCTTCACGCATTGGAGCAGCTTACTCCCTATCTCGCAGACTTGGCCCGCCTCCTGGTTTTCCATCGCTTGGCTCTTTCATCGCTCACAATGTCCATCTCACATCTAGCACGCTCACAATGGTCGGGATAGAGCTGCGGAGCTCGGACGATGATACGCCAAGCCCTGGACTTACCACCCAGATTCATGCGCTAGAACAGCTCGCATCGTTAGTTGCACAGAAAGAGGGCCATTCACAACTCAGACCTTACCAAACTATACCTGTTGCAATGTTGCCGTCCAGTGCGCAGCCACCAGAAACTCCAAACACAGAAGGCTCAGACGCATCGAACGTCGCATGCTACCAGGCGCAAGAACCACTCATAGTGAGCCGCGAAGAAGAAGCCCCTGATGAACTATCTGTCAAGTCTGAATGTTTTTTGTCGCAAGAGTTCATTTCCACGGCACCACAGACTTGTCAACATTTGCATTTTCAACCTTGTGATGCGACGTCACATGTGGTACCCTCATGCAGTGGTCACCAATCCAAGAATCGGACAAATTCAGAAGTGCATGATACATCAAACCTTGTACACAGTTGTCTTTCGGAAGCGCCCTTAATGAACCCCGTCACCGAAGCCTCTGAAGAGCATGCTAGCAATGATGACGCATTGCCAACTATGCCCGACAAGCAATACATCAGCTCACCATTCATCAGCTGTCTACAGGACGCGTCAAACACCGTACGAAATGAATGCCCCATTGCGGAACGGTTGCCACTACAGCCATCTCCTGAGCAGCACCAACAAAGCAAGCAAAACAAAGTTCACAAACTCAGAAAACAACGAGAGAGACTGCAGCGAGGGCATCGGCGAACGCCAAATTCAACGGAAGCGCGTTCACCAGTTGAAGAACATCGAAAAATAAGATATCCAAACTAACAAGACGTCAGACACTTTCGGACAAAGAAAAGTCGCCAGAAACGCTCCCAGCGCCTGCTATTCCACCGACGGCACCACCACAGGAAGCGCCGAGAAAGACGCAGAAGCACTGCTTGCAAACCGCAAGCACTCAGGCACTCCATCACAGTCTGTCGAGAAGCACGCAAGCAAGAAGCAATGGGATCGCCCCATTCACGGCGAAACGTACAACCCCGACGACATCCGAGCTGCCGATGCAACAAGGCGTTTAAACCTTGGTCAGCCCGAACAAGAGTTCTAGCAGTACTGTCAGTATCCACGTGTATCCCGCTCTGTCCGGAACGCAACAGTCAGCCTCGCCCACCAGAGTTGTTATAGAGTTGACCGAACTGCTCCCTCGGGCTTGAAGATTTAAAGAGACTGTGGAACTTCGTCGGGACGTTATACTGCGAATTTGGACATTGTCTGTTTATTGGCTTCTTCAATTTTTTGTAGGTTATAAACGGTGCCATCTTTCGGGGGGAGGGAAATGATGTGACGTATAAAGTGATGGTTAGTAGAGGTAGAGAAGGAAGAAGTCAGAGATTGAAAAAACATGAGGTATGAGCCAGGCCACGTCGCCCATTCATCGTAGCGTCAACATATATATATATATATATATTATATATATATATATATATATATATATATATATATATATATATATATATATATATAGAGAGAGAGAGAGGAGAGAGAGAGAGAGAGAGAGACTGATAAACATTTTAGCAGAGTACACGGAAGCTGTAGTGGACGACCTACTCACGAACGATGAATTCTGCCGCACGCTTCACATTGAATGTGTTGGAATTTCTATTTACTGTGGTTTCTCACCGATAACCTGATATTTGTACGAAGTGATTATCTCAAAATAGGTGACCTGTTATCGCCACCTAAGTTCATTTCTTGTCGAATAATATAGGTTAGCCGTGACCCTCTAGCAATGCAACTGTCTGCGGAGTTAACAGGAACACATAGTTAGTACATAATATTGCCAAGTGGATGGGACGCGGATGAACGCAGTAGTCCGCGTCTTCATGGTGAAACTGTGTATTTGACCTAACTAGGGGTCATGAGAAGAGAACTGAATATGCTTCGCACAGAGTGTCGGTCGTCAAAAATACTGACTTGTGGTTACGAGTGTCAACTTTCATACATATATCGCCGAAGATTACCGCGTTGTCGAGTGGCGGCCACGTAAGCTCCCAAACTAAAACCAATGTTTGAGTTGAACACGTAATCTGATAGATAAGTAATAACAATATAGGAGACCACAAGTTATTGGACCCGTTCTGCGCAAGCTGGCAGTTACATTGCAATTTAACTGTAACTATAAACTCTAAATGAAGGAGTGGCGGGGGTAATTTTTGACAGAGAAACAACATAGCAATTTTGAACTGAGTACTACAGACCACTGCGCCAAGCCGATAGATAACAACATAGAGAAAGCAAATTTTTTTAAAGGTAGACAGGTCGGCCTGAGCTTAGTGCTCCGTAACACGCTACTCTGCGCAACCAAAAACAGAAAATTGATGAGTAGGATGACTACTAGAAACGGGGTGAGCAGGTGTGTAAGTAGATTGACCATGTAACACAATGGCCTTCCATAAAGTAAAGCGTCAAATTCACTCCTCTTGAGAAAAGTCCGGAGTCGCCTTGTAGCAGGTGTTATGCTGTGGGGTTGGACATTGAGGAAACAGGCTAGTTTCACTTAGAGTATTCTCACCCATGCCGATCCTCGATTAATTTGAGCTTCATTCGTTTGGACACGTTAGTAGCCATTCACAAAATTGGTGTGGTAAAATCTCATCCACTTGGCCGCGCTTTAAACTTGGGGCTGTTCGTAGGACTGATAAAGTGGGCACAGCATGTTCTTCCAAAGTGAAAATCTCTAATGTGCTAACGCAGAGGTCGTCTTGTTTTACAAGGTTTAGTTTAGACAGGTTTTATACATGAAATAATCATCAAATAGAATAACAAGATATATGTCAAACGTTTTCTCTAATATGCTGTTTTTATTTTATTGACAGGGTAGTTATGCCGGAGCCTCTTCTACACTGCTTCATTGGTGAACTGACAACAAATTGGGATGATTTGAGAGATGTAGAAGATTACAAAAAAGTCCGGAACTCGTGTACTGTGGCAGTCTGTAACACCAGGGTTACGGGCCAACACAGTGCCATAGAAATAACAGTGTATATAAATTGTAGGTGTAATCTAAAGGAAACCAAGATTTCATGTAAACGAAGATTGCAGTTGGACATGGCGATGCTAGATAAGCACACACATGCTTGTGTAATGACCACTGGTTGCCCTTTAAAAGGAGACCTTTGGAAAATTGGTGAAGTATTGCATCAAAAACACCACAACAAAATTGGCTTGTAGGTGTTCGTTCCTTCCGTAATTGTTTGCACCACATTTTCGACTGCTTTAGGTTTGAATGAGGGCCTGGTTTTGTATGTGTATCTGCTTCAGCACACCATGAATAGTTGTTGAATGTTCATCGCTGTGAAATATTGAATAAAACATTGTTAGAAAACTGAACGCATCACTTGCAAATTGTTTTGTACGCATACATGCACAATAGACTTGCAGCTTAACAGCTATTTCTTGCGTTACCTACTACGCCATGCGAGCTCACGTATACTACATCTCGTGAAAGGAATGGTTAAGCGTGCGTTACTAACTACACACAAGACCAAAATATTGTTCTGATATGTATTGATCCCTTACCGATATGTTGGAGAACAGTAAGGAAGTTTCAGAGCCATTTTATTTACTACCTTTCAGTGATGCACAGTGACGGTCTTACTAAAAAAAGGGTTAAACCTGCGTAACTTGCACAGAGCTGATGTTTTTGATGACAGTGTTTTAATAGAATTGTTGTGCTGGCAAAGTTGTTCACTAATATATTATTAAGGGGGAAATAAGCGTTCCCTCTTCTCATCGAAAGGGGTTACCTACAAAAACTGACATTGTGCAGAAAGTGACGGTTTTGAAATGCTTCAGCGGGCCAGCTACAAACGCTGTTTCTCTGGTATTCTTTTCAATCGCAACACGAAGTTTATTCAATTTTGGGCTTAAAAAAGAAAGACGTCGTAATTGTCACATTTTGCAATTATTGTGATAGAAAATATGCGGACACTCTCGGCTGGATTATGCCGACGACGTCGACGTCACTCAGCGTATATGTCTCCGCATTTGTATATGAAAATTCAAGAAAGAAAAATTATCAAGATAAACACTCTGGCGCGCGGAATCGAACACGGTACCTCTGATTCAGGAGTACGAGGCCAAGCGAAGCACCAATTATCCACTTTGCCAACTAGGATCTTTTTTATTTATTGAGCTTAGCCAATGAGGAGCACCTCCTTCAACGTTCAAAAGGCCTGATATTTACATATTCCACTTACCGCTCGTGACGGGCATCTCGGGGGCAACTATCGTGTTTTCAGCATTATCAGCAAGATGACGCGATTAATGCGCGACGCCACATTGTCACAACACGGCAGCCAGTGCTTCTATTTCTCACGCGTACATTGCCCCTGGGAGAGGAGGGAGGTAGACGCTTACTCACGTGCTCTTATTTCGTGGTGGAAAGGATAATGCGTCTTGGCTGGCCTTGGGCTTTGCGGGAACGATTATGTTGTACTTACCGGGCGTACAAAGATCACTGCAATCATTTCATAGTCTCTGTTTGCAAAAAGGGTGCGCTTTTCAGGCACAGCGATGTAACAAGTGAGAAGGTTATTCGCGTTTATCTGTATTCTCAAATACGTTTCGTGCGCCATTTGTGCATAAGAAATGCAAGGCACGTTTTGATCTTCTTGCCATTCTGCTCGTGAGCTTCCAATTGTTGCTAATGCATTCAATACTTCGTCGCTTTTGTAGCAAAGCTGTGACTTTTTTCTTAATGCGACAATAGAAGCAATGCACGTAAGGCATGACGTCATATTTTTAGACTTCTAACCTCGCATGGCCGTCTCAACCGGGAAACGTTTACACATTTGTGAAGGATCTCCCACATCGACACAAAATAAGCACGCGTTTATTAGCCCAGCATCCTACTCGTCAAAACTATAATGACAATAAATATTTCTAGTAAATACATCGTTGAACCTGCCATGTACAATAGTTATGCGCATCTCATGCCAATATTGCCGTGTGTCTAAATATTGGGAACATATCGGAAGTACCAATGCCTTGTATGTGCCCCAAGAGTGGCTATATGTCTCAAGTGATTCACACTTAGTATCCACCCAGGAATGACGAGAACACACGTGAACTAACTAAACTCATGAGCGTTAAAAAATTGGCCCCGTATCTGCATGTTAATCAGCAAATGTCGTCGAAAGACGATATTATAGCGTGTGAAGAGAGTGATCAAAGCATTTATTTGTTGTTCTGCGCAAAAAAACTGTTGAATGGTATTCTGAAGGCGCTGCGTTAGAGTGCCTCGAGCGTGCAGCGGAGGCGAACGAGCGCATGAAGTCACGTCACATGTGAGACATGAGCGCCATTTGGCAGTTTTCTCAGAAAATGAAGCGCGTCGCTCTGAGGCGGGTGTGCGCGCCCGTCTCAGAGGTGATAAGGTGTAGAAGGCAAGGCACCGGCTAGCTGCCACCACCATCTCGTCTTATAAAGCGTAGGAAACAATCGCTTTTTCGTCCAAGCGTTGCATGGTCAGTGCAGCGTGATAAGCGTTACGGTCCTTCAAATTACTTATGTATGCCTTTTCTAGTAAAATACGCACATGCAGAATATATACGTGTCATTATGGCACCCGAGACATGCGCAATAATTGCTTTTTATTTGACAATTGCACAAGTATAAACGGTCGCCAAGAAAGACTGTCGCAAAAAAAACCTGCCATCGGCAACGTTGACACGCAGAATGCAAATACAAAATGTTATTTCTGCAACAGGAATTCAACCCTAGCAATTTTCTTGGCAATCAAGTATTGAACCACACAGCCATGCCATGTCTCGGAACTATTTTTCAAATAGAGCATTCTGCTCATGACACATCAATAAATATAGCAGTGCTGGCTCTTCAATGTTAAAAACAATACATATGTACTCCTATGATGCAGCTCTCCTATCGGGTTAAGGTCAAGTGCAGTTAGGCGCCATCCACTTAGGTTTATTTATGCAGCAGTGCCCAGGCCTACAATACTCGCGAGCGCAACAGCTTGATATCAGCATATAACCTCTGCTGTTACTAATATCCAAGTTCGTGTAGGCATCGTTACGCAGGTGTGAAGAACTAGATATAAAAAACATTGGCATCTCTTTATCGCACTTGAAATGCGTGCAATCGCACTTATATTTAGCGCCACTTCGCAACGTTTAGCTCAATAAAAAATTACAACACATTCATCTTTCATCCGCGTGCTTTGGATGCAATCGACTCCCAAGGTACGTGGCATCTTCGGAATTTTCGTTCATTGATCCTCGCTTGTGTACAGAATGTAAACAGACGCTTTCGTTCGTTTCTGAAGCAGTACATCAATATATCACTGAAATCCCGATAACGTACCAATTTCGAGGTTTTACCAATATAGCAGTAGCCATTTGGACACGTACGATGTGCGTGGCGAGTTTCGCACGATGAATCAAGCGCAGGGCCTGATAATAAGCGTATTGGTTCACGTATTTATTATTTTTTGCTAGCCTGCATTTTTTCTAGCAGTCTGGTGTCTAAAGCACGTCTTTATAGTTTGTGCAGACATATATATATATATATATATATATATATATATATATATATATATATATATATATATATATATATATATATATATATATATATATATATATATATATATATATATATATATATATATATATATATATATATATATATTATAAAGGAGATTTATTAAGCAGAAAGGTTGGTGCTTGGGAGGCTTGGAAGGCGATGCACCAGCCGCAATTTCCGAGCTCGAGCCGCTGCTGCACACTCGATGCTGCTGCCGCTGCTGCACACTCGATGCTGCTGCCTCTGCGCCGGAGTACTTCCTCTTCTTTACAATGGCCCCACGGAGAAAAAAAGGAGCCATCCTGGCGACTTAGTCCTGTGCAGGCGGCGTTGAACCGTGGTATTGCTTGAGCCTCTGTACGTGTACAACTTCGCGGTTGCGACGTCGCAAGTCCGATGGTGGAGTAAGAGGCTCAATGAGGTAGTTTACTGGCGAAGTTTGTTCGACAATACGATATGGCCCATCGTACTTTGGCAGAAGTTTGGAAGAGAGCCCAGGTGTGCGATGTGGCACTGACAGCCATACAAGAGAACCCGGAAGAAAAACGGGAGTTGAGGTCTGGGTATCACGAATTGCCTTTTGCCTGTTTTGGTCATCGCAGGTAAAGCGACGAGCTAACTGGCGGCATTCTTCTGCGTGTCTGGCGGCGTCCAAGATCGGTAGGCACTCGGACGCGTCTGGTCGATAGGGCAAAATGGTGTCAATGGTGTGGGAGGGGTGACGGCCGTAGAGGAGGTAAAAAGGGGAGAAGCCTGTTGTCGCTTGCGTTGCCGTATTGTAGGCGTATGTAATGAATGGGAGAACTAAGTCCCAGTTAGAGTGGTCAGGCGTCACATACATAGATAGCATGTCACCGAGAGTACGATTAAAGCGCTCGGTAGCCCCATTGGTTTGTGGGTGGTAAGCGGTACATGTGCGATGTACAATAGCACACTCAGCGAGCAATTTTTCAATGACCTCGGACAAGAAGGCGCGGCCCGCGGTCACTGAGGAGTTCTTGAGGGCCTCCATGACGCAACACAAAATGACGCAGTAGGAAAGTGGCAACCTCTTGTGCTGTAGCCGTTTTAAGAGCAGCGGTCTCAGCATAGCGCGTTAGGTGGTCGATAGCAACTATTATCCACCTGTTGCCAGTCGGAGTCAATGGAAGTGGCCCATAAATATCTATTCCAACCCGTTCGAAGGGTCGGGAAGGGCATGGTAAAGGCTGCAGTTCACCGGCGGAGGCGTGTGGTGGAGATTTTCGGCGCTGACATTCGGCACAAGAGCGGACGAATTTGCGGACGAAGGTATACATGCCACGCCAGTAGTAGCGATGTCGAAGCCTTTCGTAGGTCTTGAAGACTCCTGCGTGGCCACATTGTGGGTCAGCGTGAAAAGAGGAACAAATCTGCGACCTCAGGGTTCGTGGAACGACGAGCAGCCACTTGCGTCCCTCTGGTGCGTAGTTACGTCGATAGAGAAGCGTGTCACGTATCGAGAAGTGTGGAACTTGGCGCCGAAGCGTTCGCGTCTTTGGGAGTTCAGAAGTGTCGGAGAGATGATTGAGGAGAGACGCAGTCCACGGGTCATTGCGTTGTTCGATAGCAATGGTGTCAAAGTCAAGCGATGACAATGTGGAATCGCAAGCGGAGTCAGCTGTGGCATTCTGGGACAGGGAGGAACGGGAAAGGGCGTCGGCGTCAGCATGCTTCCGTCCTGACCGATAAACCACACGTATGTCGTAATCTTGAATTTTCAACGCCCAGCGAGCGAGGCGGCCAGATGGGTCTTTTAACGTCGA